TGGTGGCATTTAGAATAAAATGTTTCATCATCTTACAGGCTGCTCCCTTGAAAACGTCAGTCTCCCCCAAACTACTTTGTATATTAGAAGTATTAGTAATTGGTTGATTGCTATAGAAGTTCATACATTTCTGGAATGAAGTTATTTCAGCAGCCCATACTCTGCCATTATTGCATACAGTTATGAATGGGAATGATCCTACTAGTTTCACTATTCTGACAAGTGCTTTTAAGTAGACTGGGAAGCAGTTTTCTTTGGTTTTATCTTACTCATATAGCCCTATATCTGCTTTGTGTAGCTATCTCAAAATCTTAGTTAAGAAGCTACCAAGGTAAGGGCTAATAGTTGTAAATAGTGTTCCTCTTATGTTCTGTTAGCAGAAACTGTCATGGAGGAAACTAGTTGGATTCCACCCCATAATTTAAAACTGAGAGGTGTCTGCTCCTAAACCTCTTAGAAAATCTTCACTATTCTTTAACATGTTAATCAGTACAAGTTGGTGTCTGTGCAACATTTACTTACCTTCTGTTTTATAGTTTGGTACACTGTCTCAATAGTCATTGCATTTTTAGTTTGAGCAGAAATCAGATTTACACTCAGTTATTGGTGCCCTAGGATTTTTCTGGCTAAGCACACATACACACACATTAAGCACATACGTAGTCTGTATTGACTACACTAAAAGGATCTACATTACTAGGGATGCTGCCATCCTCCCAATTCCTCTGGGCCATCTACTAATTTAGCATGACCTAGTTTAGTCCCAATACAAACTGAAATGTTGTACTGGGTCGAATGAGCTCCCAAGATTTGAGATGGTTTACTTGCTTCTTTCTTTCTTTCCTTCCTCCCTGCCTTGACTTCCTTCCTTTTTTCATGAACTTCATGAATGACACTTTGTGGGGACCCCCTTCACATTAATTGAATTCAAGCATGGTATAGCAAATTGCAACATGGATGCCTCCTCTCCTGAAGTCACAGAAAAATACTGTTTGCCAACCCTCTTATTCATCTCAGAAGCAAGCCCTCAAGTGTCTGAGTCTCCCTGCTCTTAGTAAATGGCTCTTAGTGAACGGCTTCCTTTTGTCATTGATTCCATCTTGTTGTTTCTCCTCCTTTGGGCATCTTTTTGGTTGAAAGCAGACTTGAATGTTCTGACCTTTTGCAAAGAGGCAAAATTTCAGCCTGAGGTTTTCAAATGTGTAAATTTTGAAGATGGTCATATAGGTCACATTAAAAAAAAGCTTTGATCACTTAGCATGCCCAAGGGGGCATCAAAGAAGAGAGTCATGGAATCATAGAGTTGGAAGAGACCTCATGGGCCATCCAGTCCAACCCCTGCCAAGAAGCGGGACAATTGCATTCAAAGCACCCCCAACAGATGGCCATCCAGCCTCTGTTTAAAAGCCTCCAAAGAAGGAGCCTCCACCACACTCCGGGGCCAAGAGTTCCACTGCTGAACAGCTCTCACAGTCAGGAAGTTCTTCCTAATGTTCGGATGAAATCTCCTTAGTTTTCTCTTGATCCTACATTTGACGTAATGTGGTCATGCAAAATCTCATTTTACTCTCCTATTAGCTAGTACACTTCAGGTATGAGCCAAGTTAAAGGAACAGTTTGAAGGCTTTGTTGAAACGGAAAAACTTTCCATACTGTCTTTCTCTAGTTAAACAAAATACACATAGATGTATAGATCTGCAGCAGCCTAAATACCCCAAATGCACCAGATCCCATCTTATCTTAGAATCTAAACATGGTCAATCCTGGTTATATAGGAGACCGTCAGTGAATTCTAGGTGCTATAGGCTCTAGAGCAGGCATGGGCAAACTTTGGCCCTCCAAGTGCTTTGGGTTTCAACTCCCACAATTCCTTAGTCATGGAAACCCCTTGGGTAGGTCATACACTCTCAGCCTCAGAGGACGATAGTGCCAACTCCTCCATGCAAACAAGTCTTGCCAAGAAAACCCAGTCATAGTTTCACTTTAGAGTTGCTATAAATCTAAAACAACTTGAATAGTACAGCCTCTACAACTTCTTCCCAGCTCGAAATATGAAAAAGACCCTCTGCTATTTCCAACATCTTAAAATTATTAGTACTTTAAAGCATCCGTATGATTTCACTGTTATAATATAAAACAAAATTCCTGGTGCTAATTTTTTTCCATAAGAGAAAATTGGAGCATTATTTTTGGACTTGTTTTGCAATCTATTGCAATAAACACTGACCTGTGTATAATTTCAGACTTCTGTGAATTTAGACTACAAGTGTCATTAATAAACTCATCCAAACCAATACTTTTCTATCATGTTTACTGGATCAGCAGCTGCATCATAGCTTCCCTGGAGCAGACTTTAAAATGTCAGTACTTGAATTGCAAATAAGTTTTTCTTCTGTAGTTAAGTTTGCTTCTGATATTTAGGATGAAGCCTTTTTGGACTGGACTAATAATCATGGAGCATGGAAATTTTAATGGGTGTCATCTCTCTTCTGTTACTTATCAGAAATGCTAAATAAAAATTATGAAATATGAAATTTATCATTATTTACTTTCTGGGCAGCTTTTAATAAAACTCTTTCAGTCCTTTCCAACGCTGCCGGTTTAGAGCTCATGTTTCAGTCATATATGTGAATAATTCATTAAGAAGCTGTTTAATAATTGAAAGCAAAAGGCATTTATTTGCTTCAGTAACATTTTTGGTTATTTTCTTATTTAAATCGCTTTCTACAATCTGTATGTAAAAAAATATGAATAAATAATGTCTGGGCAAACATGTATCCTAGCAGAAGAATCAAAAATAGGCTTAATGTACTGGAAATCATAAAAAGGTAGGCAGATGTCTGTATATAGAACAAACAAATAAAAACCGGCACTGCTCTAGAAAACTCTCTGTGCACTTTTAGCTTTGCCATTACAAAAGGGATCTTTTTTGTTATCTTCTTTCTCTCACATTATATTTTTATCATATTACTTTTGTCTGCTTCTATCCACTCTATTATATTTTCATTCTAACCTTTCTCCAGGTAACTCATAGTGGCGCACTTTATCTGCCCGCATCCTCATTTTTATTTTTATTTCTGGATAGCTTTGCATTGTCAGCATAATGCACTGTAGAAGTAACGTGACACCATTTTAATTGTCTTGGGTGAATTCTATGGGATCATGGGAAATGGGAAATGTAGTTTTAAAAGTTCTTTAGGCTTCTTTGCAAAAGAGTGCTGGTTTTTCACCAAAGTGAAAAGATTCCATAGCATTGCCAACAAACTGCATTAATTCTACAATGTAGAAGCACCCCCTGAGTGAAGCTGAGAGATCGTGATCAGCTAGCAGATACCTAACTGTTTCATAGCAAAGTAGAACCATGTCTCTCTGTTCTTTTTCTACACTCAAACCATAGTTTGATTATTTTTGTCTCCCTAAACTTGATTTTACTTTATCATGATTGGCATACGGTCAGGGCAGATATTCTGTGTACTGAAATCTTTGGTGATTCTTGAACACTTTGGTGAACGAAGTAGGTGTAGCAATAAAAATGTCCATCGGCATTTTCTGTGTGTTTATTTGGAAATAGACCTCGGTGAGCTCAGTGTCATTCAAAAATAAGTGTGCCAAAGATTGGACTCCTAGTCTCTTCTATTTATGTATGAGACAGAATGCTGTATCAGGGATGGAGTACTTGTGACCTTCCAGATGTTTAAATTGAATTTTTGTCATGCATGGTCTCCATTGGCTGAAACAGGTGACAGTTAAAGAGTGCAGTTTCATTTGAAGGACCTCAGGCTCCTCTCTCTGAGGAAGAAAATAAGTCTATCCAAGTATAGCTCAGCTAACAAAGTGGATGTGTTCCTGAGCATTCCTTCACTCACACAGAATTTGGTACCAGGGGCTGAAGCAACATGGGGAAAAAGGAATAGGCACTTTTATCATAAATGAAGAAGAGCAATTCAACATTTTTCTGCCAACGTTTTATTCAGAACTAAAAATATGCCCACGTGGAATGAAGCAGCCAGATCAAGAAAAGTGTGCATAAGTAAATGAAAGCATTTGAACCTTTTAGAAACTACTTTACTTAAAGCCCTCTTTTAATATGTACCAAGGCATGGCTTTTGTTACAACACCTTCCCCTTTTTGTATGATTTCCATTTTGGTATCCAATCTTGGAAAACTTTAACAGGCTGGTGGTGGCTGGGGAATCGGGCTTATCTGGTTTCCTCTTTTTTCTCTGTTTTGCTGTTCACTCATGCTTAGTTTTACACAGCCCCCTTCCACACTTTTCAAAACAGAAAAGCTACATCATCTGCTTTGAACTGAGTCTACACTGCCATATAATCCAGTTCAAAACAGATAGTCTGGATTTTATATGGCAGTGTAGAAGTGACCAAAGTCTGTTGTGATCAGTCATTCTTTTTCATCTTAAGCTTTCCTGCATGGTTTACTGGAGGATAGTTGCTGCAACCTAAAACAGAAAATACATGTTTTTACCTCCATTCTGCATTTTGTTCCCAGTTCAGTGGGTCCTTGGTATCCATTGGAGTTTGGTTCCAGGACCTCTGTGGGTGCCCCATGGTAAAATGGTGTCACATATATAAAACGGCAAATTTAAGTTTTACTTCTTGGATTTTTACAAAATATTTTCAAAATATATTACAAAATATTTTCAAGCTGTGGATAACTAAAAATCTGTGGGTATGGATGGCTAAATGTACTCTAGAAACCTTCTAGCTGGATAGAGGATGAGGAAGAAAACAGGAGTTAGGTGGGTGTAAAGAAACTTCATAAAAAAGAAAAGGGAACTTTATTGTCAGAGACTTTGTCAACTGATTTAGCCTTGTATTCCTATTCATGACAATTAGTCACTACTGTTCAGAAAATATTTCTGATGATAAATAAAGAGATGTTTTTCCATAACTCATTTGTCTATGAAATGGTGACAAGTGGTGCGTACTGGCTCGGTGGTTTCAATTATATGTTTTAACAATGTCATCATTTATCTTCTTCAGAAAAAGATGGCAAAGCATTTCATCCAACATACGAAGAGAAACTCCGACTTGTAGCATTGCATAAACAGGTTCTGCTGGGACCATACAATCCAGACACTTGCCCTGAAGTTGGATTCTTCGATGTGCTGGGAAATGATAGAAGGTAAAATGAATCTTCTTTTTTATTTTGGAACTGTTGATCATATAGACTATTTCATCCCATGTAATCATGGTACGATTAGTTTTACAAGGTCTTTAGCCTTCTCTTCCAAAGAGTGCTGATGCCTCTCAAAGCTACAAATCCCAGGATTCTATAGCATTGACTCATGGCAGTTAAAGTAGTGTCAAACTGCATTAATCGACACTTTTGATGCACCTATAGTATCTGAAACGTTCTTTGTATGGTCAGTATCATGCATATCCCCTTTAGAGTCTGGAATGAGCACACCATACTACTGATGTGAAAACTACTAATTTGTTGTTTCATCATGGAAATCCCAGCCACTGTGAGATGCTGTTAGTATTTGTCTCTTTATGTTGTGTTCTCTTTCATTTGCCTAAATTGAGATTCTTTAGTTTTGAAATCCTTTGTAATAGCCCCATACTTGCTGCTGCTGCTATTATAATTTATTTTTGCCCTCCCTGATTTTCTGACAGAGTTGAGATTCAAAGCTGCTTATACTTAAAATACATTACAATTAAAAACATACAAAAGCTAAATACTAAAATGGCATTAAATGTGTAGGCTTGTAAACACGTTCTCTCTTTATATGGCTAGCTCAGTAGAAAAATGTTTGCTTATTTCCTCCTTATAGGAAAGAATGGGCTGCCCTTGGAAACATGACAAAACAGGATGCCATGACAGAGTTTGTCAAGCTCTTAAATAAGTGCTGCCAGCTCTTTTCCACATATGTTACTTCCCATAAAATAGAGAGAGAAGAACAGGAGAAAAAAAGGTGAGCAGCCCTAGAAGTGAGATGGGCAGCATGTAATGCACTGTGTCCTGGCGGTCTTTAAAGTCCCTTCATTTTTAATTGCTTTTTAAGACTTTTAATGTGAATCTGTTGGATGTGGTGCCATAATTGTTTCCTGTCTTTGGAAACATGCTTTCTTGTTTTGAAAATCTTAGTGTTTCTGGAAAACATGGACATTGGTTGAGGTAGCACGTACATATTTTACTCATACAGGAATCTTATCCAAGTAGGATAACTTTTGCATTCAAACATTCATCTTTTGCATATCTGTTTGATATATTATCTTATTCTGTGTCACAGAACTTGGATTCTTGCTTAAAAATTGAACTGTGTCCTTATGTTTCTTGTCAAATGTGACTCTATGCTTGTACACTGATGGCATCCTTCACTTACTCTCTTCTGTGGGGAATAGCTTTTTTAACATTTTAATATTTTTTTTATATGAAGCAAGTGAAGGAATCATGTGGTCTTCGGTTCTACTGGCTAGTGCTACTGGGACCTGCAATCCATCAGTATTTGGAGAACCACATGATTCTAACCCCTGGTGGAAAGAAGTAAATAATAATCATTTTGTGTACAGTATTTCTTTTGGAAGAGATCTCTTAAACCTTCTCTGTGCTACTCGAAATCACCTTCTACTTTACAGTGCAAACCTATTTGTGCTTACCCCAGATTAAGTCCCTCAAAATACAGTCAAAGTACAATTGATTGTACTTTGAAATAGTGACCTATAAAGGCTTTTGTTACAGTATGCCACCACAAATAATATGACTGCTTCTTATTTGATTGCCTTCATTATTAGCATATCCAGAGACAGGTCTGTAGAGAGATGGAGAAATCATCTGTTTCTCAACTGCTAATCAATTATGAAGGACGGACACAGAAAAATCATAGCACAACAAATACTCTGATAAATGTGGCTATTACAGGAGGGAAGAGGAAGAACGGAGACAACGTGAAGAGGAAGAACGAGAACGATTGCAAAAAGAAGAAGAAAGGCGAAGGCGAGAAGAGGAAGAGAGGCTGAGACGGGAAGAAGAGGAGAGGCGGAGAATAGAAGAAGAAAGATTCCGCATGGAACAACAAAAGTAAGGCATCACCTGTACATGAGTAAATACTGCAGCCACTTTTCTCCTATACTATTATATTTCAGAAGGAAAGGCTGGATATTTTATATCTTTGGGTTGCTGTGAGTTTTCTGGGCTATATGGCCATGTTCCAGAAACACTCTCTCCTGATGTTTCGCCCACATCTATGGCAGGCATCCTCAGAGATTGTAAGGTATATTGGAAACTAGACAAGGGAGGTTTATATATCTGTGGAATGTCCAGGGTGGGAGAAAGAACTCTTGTCTGTTGGAGGCAAGTGTGAATGTTGCAATTGGCCACCTAGATAAGTATTTAATGGCCTTGCAGCTTCAAAACCTGGCTGGTTGCTGCCTGGGAGACTCCGTTGTTGAGAGTTGTTTAGCTGGCCCTGATTGTTTCTTGTCTGGTATCCCCCCCCCCCTTTTTAGAGTGTTTCTCTTTATTTACTGTCCTGATTTTAGAGGGTTTTTTAAAAAATACTGGTAGCCAGATTTTGTTCGTTTTCATGGTTTCCTCCTTTCTGTTGAAACTGTCCACATGCTTATGGATTTCAGTGGCTTCTCTGTGTAGTCTAACATGGTGATTGTTAGAGTGGTCAGCATTTCTGTGTTCTCAAATAATATGCTGTGTCTAAGTTGGTTCATCAAGTGCTCTGCTATGGCTGACTTCTCTAGTTGAGTTAATCTGCAGTGCCTTTCATGTTCCTCGATTCATGTTTGGCCATACAGCCTGGAAAACTCACAGCAAACCTGTGATTTCGGCCATGAAAGCCTTCGACAACACATTGTATATCTTTATTATTATAGCAAGCTTGTTGGTTTAGGGGCAATTAGGTTGCTATATTTGATGCCAGCTGATGGTCTCAAATGCCTACAGAGTAATTCAGAGGTGTCCTCAGATGCCTGAAGCATCATTTATCAAGGCAATTTGTTCTTCATCTAGGCAACAGATAATGGCAGCACTGAACTCCCAGACAGCTGTTCAGTTCCAACAATATGCTGCCCAGCAGTATCCGGGCAACTATGAGCAACAGCAGATCCTAATTCGTCAGCTCCAAGAACAACACTATCAACAGTACATGCAACAACTTTATCAGGTCCAGCTTGCACAACAACAGGTATAACCCACTCTGTTGTCAAGGCAGCTATTGGGAAGATAGATGCTCAGTTTTCAGCTCAGGCATCAGTAACAGAACAAGCCTGTATTGCAGTCTGTCATGAAGAGAAGGGTAAAAACATGTCTCTATATTAACATTCTTTTTTGTTAAACAAATCCCCTGTTTTTCTATCTTTCATCCTTTCACAAGGAATTAAGAATATAAATTAAAATGTCTGTATGCGCTAATTTGGCTAAGTGTTATTCTAAAATCTTCTACCTCCTACAGAGCTTCTTTTCTGTTCCTTTGCCCAATCCATGGAGATACATAATTTAATATTTGCTGTAAATACTGAAAGTCAAATTGTGGCGGTTATTAGAGACTCTGATTCAAATCCTCATTTAGCCATAAAACCGCATTAGGTTTTATGTAGATTCTGATATGCTGCCCGCCTATAATATTTATTTCATATGTAATTCCTGTTTCATTGTCTTTATGTCCTGTATGTCCCTTATGTCCCGTCTTTCATTGTCCTTATGTCCTGTATTTATTTGTAGGCAGCTTTGCAAAAACAGCAGGAAGCAGCAGCCACAGCAGGAGCTTCAGTTACTTCCATGTCAAAGGCCAACTCTGCGGTCACAGGAGAAATCCCATCAGTAAATGGACAAGCTAGTCCTCACACAGAGAGCCCAGAAAAAGACCTGGAAACAGATACTGTAGAAGAAGCATTAGAGAATGGACCAAAAGGTATGAGCAAACATTCCTGAACAAGATGATGATGGAAAACTGCTTGCATGTTGATACTGACTGGACTCTTTATTGGCTGTTTCTTCCGCCGTAGATAACAACTAGAATTCACTTCACTTCACTTTATTTCTTAATTAGTCGCTCTCCACCAAGGTGCTCCGAGCGACTTACAATTTAAAATAGCATTTACACAATATAAAAACATTCAACACAAAAACATACAACAGTGACTATTTGACAAATTAGATCTGATCACTTTACTTAAATGCACATTCCTTTTTGCTAGATCAAACCCTTAAACTGTTTTCTCTTCTATGTGAATCTGTAGTTATCTGGTGCTTAACTTTTTAGAGTAGGGAGTGAAATGATGCCTCCCCATGAAGTCTTCCTATACATCCTTTGCATTTTTCCCAGGACTATTTTAATGCTAACTTCTCCTTGCTGAGGACTTGAGGCTTGGGCAGTGAGGTTGGATCCCAATAAAATTCAGGCACTTCAAGTTTAGATGAAGATCACAAAGTTGGTTCATGTCCTCACTGCCAGGCTTTTACGCCTCAGACCAGGCAGAATTGGGACTTGTGTCTTAAGGTGCCTTGTTGGCTGCCGCCAAGCTGGGAAGAACAGGCTTCTTAAACAGCCTAATCTAATAAGTATCAATGGTATTGGTCTGGCATGCCACAGCAGTTGGTTTCTTCTCCTATATCTTTTAGCCTTCGGTAAAGGCTGTTCTTAAGACACCTTTCATATCCTCTCCTCTTTATCTCTTGCCTGTCCTTAGATTGTGGGATATGTCAGCATCACCCATGGAACTGAGGATTTAGCAGCCCTAAGAGTGGGTGTCCACCCTCAGGACCAATATACAGCACCCTTCCTGCCTATATCGTCAGTTCCATAGATACAGCTGCCAAAAAGTTTATGTAAGAATCTTCCAAATGATGTGCTGCACATGTGCAGATAACTCCATTTGTATGAGTTCACAGATGACCACTTGAAAAATTACAATGAGAAGTATGAAACATGTCCATAATATTTTCAGAAAGCTTAGGGTGATCTTCCAGTCATTTTCAGTTTGTAATAGAAGATCAGGCAGAGTGGCCCCTCGATGTTGCATGGTATGCTTTACAGTGAAATGTCCTTAGGGTTGAAGTCTGTCATAAGCAGAAAGAAAAGAAAGCTCTAGAGGGGAAAAAGAAGTAGTCTTTCCATTTGCTTCTAGTTTAAGTTAATACACTATTACTCTTAAACCAGTCCTGATCTGACTTAAAACCTGGGGAATTTTTGAAGCATCAGCATTTTTTCCTGTGGGTCTAATTGAAAATGGCAACACAGGCAGTCCACGAGTAAATGTAAATGTATATTATTGTTGTTTTAAATTGTTATTTTTATGATGTTTTATACTTATTATCGATCTATTTGGATTGTTGTTTACATTATGTTAATATGTTGTAAGCTGCTTTGGGTCCCGTGAGGAAGAAAAACGAGATATAAATAAAGATTTATTATATTATTATTATGATATGAGAGGAAATTTACCCTTCGGAAGGGAAATTCACTCCTGTAAAACTTATCATGGGAAAAAGTGTTTTCACTGAAGCTTTAGCACCAATCCTAGTTTCCAGGGCAACCCAATATTTTCAAATTCCAACTGTCATATGGACAGAAAGTGAGGCGAAATCTTCTGAACAGACAGCAAAACAAGCAATACAGAAATGTTAACCTTCCCTATCCCTAAAAATGGACCTGGAGTTACACTTTAAAAATGTGCCTGTTCCAATTTAAATGACAATTCAGCTTAAGAACAAACCATTTGTTCATAACCCCAGGGACTACCTGTAAATGTTTTTAGAAGAGAGATTTCTGCATTGTTGGGGGTTTCTTCTTGTTTCTTAGTCTGTACACCAAGACTGATTGTATGTCCAGATATAAATTGCTGAGCTTGTGCACTTTCTTTGCCCTGTCTTATCTTCTAGAATCTGTTCCAGTCATAGCAGCACCCTCCATGTGGACGAGGCCGCAGATATCAGACTTCAAGGAGAAGATTCGCCAGGATGCAGACTCTGTGATCACAGTTGGCAGAGGAGAAGTAGTGACAGTTCGTGTACCAACACACGAAGAAGGCTCTTATCTCTTCTGGGAGTTTGCTACAGACAATTATGACATTGGTTTTGGGGTATATTTTGAATGGACAGACTCCCCTAATACAGCAGTCAGCGTACACGTCAGTGAATCCAGCGAGGATGAGGATGAAGATGAAGGTATCTTATTACAAGCACATTGCAGTAGTTAGAGACATGAAAAAGCTATCGCTTGCAAATAATCTCCATTATATGTCATAGGAACACAAGAAGCTGCCTAATGCTGCATCAGACTAATAGCAGCTTTTCAGGAATGCAGGCAGAATTCTGTATTTTTTCTGCCTGGAAATCCATAGTGTTCTGAGATAGTCTCCCATCTAAGTGTTACCCAGGTCTGGCCCATCCAGAATCAGACAAGATTGCCTATGCCATGGTGTGGTTGGGGCAAGAGCCAAGGAGGAACTGACAGATGTCCAGTTTGGAAAGTTGGTTCCAATATGGCAGCTGGGAAATAGGAGACGCTGTACAATGTTGCAGGCTAGTCACTTGAATTTTCAAATGGGAGTCATGCAAGTTGATTTGGAAATAATTGAATTTGAAAACCCTCTTTATGACTATTGCTGTCAGTGGTCTTATACAGCCTTGTCTAGAACAACGTTCCATGATAATGCTGTCGGTCTTGTCACAGTGCCTTTCATGATTCCTGGAAATTTCAAATTTGATAAGGAGTGTCAGGAGTGACTTGAGAAACTGCAAGTTGCTTCTGGTGTGAGAGAATTGACGGTCTGCAAAGACGTTGTCTAGGGGACGCTGGGATGTTTGATGTTTACCATGCTTGTGGGAGGCTTTTCTCATGTCTGTGGATGGGGAGCTGGAACTGACAAAGGGAGCTCAGTTCGCTGTCCCCAAATTCGAACCACTGACCTATCAGTCAGCAGTCCTGCCAGCACAAGGCTTTAACCCATTCCGCTACCGCGGGTTCCTTATAGAAATGAAGCTTAGTCAGAATGTAGATTGCTTTATGTTTGATGTTTAATGGTTAAGGAAAAACTGCTGCATTATAGAACCATTGCTCAGATATTTATCTTCCACTGTCAGTGACGAATTTTATTGTTTCTATATGGTGAATTTTAAATCTTTGATTAGGAGAAATGTTCCTTGTAATGTGGAAGGAAAGAACCTTCCTGGATGCTAAGATACTTTCAACCTTTGCTAATTGCAGTTTGAGGTTAGAAGCTTATTAATGCCATTCATTGCAAGGTCTAATTGAGTTGCAATCTTCGATGGCATTCCATTGCCTCCAATTTACCAAATTCATTGTATCATAATCTTTCATTGTTTCTTGTTAACCACTGTCAAGTAAAAATCTGTGGTGACTTTATGAACAAGAGTCCTCTAAGTCACCCTGTTCAGGCCTTGCAGACTCAGGGCGGTGGCTTCTTTGAATCTGTCCACTGTAACATGGTCTTCCTCTTTCCTTATTGCCTTCTGCCTTCCCAGGCATCATTCCCTTTTCTAATGGGCCATGTCTTATTATGATATGGTCAAAATAGAGCAGTCTCAGTTTAATCAGCTTGACTTCTAGGGAGAGCTCAGGCTCTTGCTCTTGGACTCACTTATTTGTCTTGTAGACCTCTTTCCCAGCACCATTTCTTAATGGGAAATTGTGTGATATGTTTTCAGTTGCATTTGGTGTGGCAGCGAAAGGCACAGCTTTTATTTTTGCAGAATCTGTTAAGAATACCTTATTGTTACAATTATGTCAGTCCCCTCCATGTCACTGAGGATCTGTGGTCCCATTGATATCCATGAGTTTAAAAAAGTAATCACTGATATTGTTGAAAAACACAATTTAAAAAACTTTTTTCCAATACTGTTTTTACAAGTCCTCCATGCAACTGCATTACCTCTTAGTAGTTATTTGAAAGAATGCTGAAGACCATGGTCATCTCATTTTACCATTTTCTGGTTATGGTGGAAATCCAGACTTCTAAAGGGAGAAATTAACTGTAAACTAGTAAACCAAAAGTTCACTCCGGCCAAGTTTGTGACATGGCAATACTGTTTGTTGCTCTTGTCCAATATGTGAATGAAGGGATTAACTTGAGTTTCTTCAGACAAAACCTCGATGTGGTCACCATGGTGTATTCTTTATTTGCAGTAACATTTGGTCATAACTATATTCTGTAAAAGCCCTGGTACAGTTCTTAGACGTTTGTGCTTTGGTTAAATTAAAGTACAGTAGAGTTTCACTTATTCGACATTTCTCTTATCCAACACAACTCCCCTTTTCCTTCAGCATTTCCCCTACAATTAAAGGAGCGCTCCCCAACTCTCTCTCCATTCCAAATACGTAAAAAAGGCAAGACAAGGGGGATGAGGAGGGAGAAAAAGGGGAAAATAGGCAGGACCACAAATGGAAGCATTCTCCCTCCTTCCCTCTGTGATTTCCACACTCCTCTTCCGCATCCGGCCACTTCCTGCTAGGCCATTCTAGCCCCGAGGCGTTGCCTTGCCTTAACCCTTTGAGTCCTATTCTTAGCATTCTAGGTGTCTAGTGCCGCGTCAGACTGGTAACAGTAGGAGAATCCATATTATCCGACATTTTCGTTTATCTGAGGTTCTGCCTGCCTGCTTATGTCAGATAAGCGAGACTCTACTGTACTTACATATGTTTTGCTATGCTTCCTGGGAGACTAGTCAGTGCTGATTACAAATAATGGGTTGTGCTCTTTGCCTGAAATCAAGGAAACCTGTCTGTGACTTAATATTTTATTTCTGACTCTTTTTTTCCAGAAAATGCTAACAGTGAAGAGAAAGCCAAAAAGAATGCCAACAAGCCTCAACTAGATGAAATAGTGCCTGTGTATAGACGGGACTGTCACGAAGAAGTGTATGCTGGCAGCCATCAGTACCCAGGGAAAGGAGTCTATCTTCTTAAATTTGACAACTCCTATTCACTATGGAGGTCAAAAACAGTTTACTACAGAGTCTATTATACTAGATAAAAATCTTGTTCTGGTGTCGGAGGCTGGGGTATTGCAGAAGACGTCATGTTGTTTGGGATTTCCGTCACGCATATTGGACCTCTTGACTCTGTTACCCTGTCTGATGTATCTGTATGGTTTTGTGTGTGTCCGTGTTAACATTTGGCACTGGGAATTGGGTTTTCCTCTGCAGCTCAGTGTTAATGCAGTCTGTTGGGGTTAGGATTTCCCCAGTCCTTTCTGGTGACATGGTTGTTGGCCAGATCGTAAGATAAAAGGTTGCACAAGTGGCATATGGTTGACCTTTCAGACCTCTTAAATGCCTAACACACACATAATAAAAAGAGGAAGATGTTTCTTTAATTGGTGGCAGTCCATATGGTGTTGCCTGGCCTATATGCTTTCAACATTTAAAAACAAAACTGTTAGTTGTTCACACGAGGGCATCGGCCTTATCTCCGGGGGAGGGAGTCGGATGCAGTCTGCACTGTAGAAAAGCAAGTTTCTTACAACTGTATTTGAATGTCAGATTTTTACACCATTAAACTTGAAACCTTAGTGGATGCAGTTTAGAAATGAACTTGTCTTGTGTCTATCTCATTGAAAAAGTCATTTGGAGATTCTCTATCCAGACAGCATGCTGCCAAATGAAGAGGGGAAAGTCTGTGTGAGTTTTTGCATCCCCGTGTACCCTTGGTGGAGGGAGATGGACTCCTCTGAGGCAAATGTGTGTAATTTACATATACATGTATATATACATATGTATATGTATATATACTCACAAAACACATGCACATCAACAAAATCTCTTGTCCAAAGTCAAACTAGCAAATTAATTTTGGATGACAAGACAGGTATCTATCTTCACTTAAATCCTCTTGTAATCCTAAGACCAAGTTTTGTGCAGGTTTTTGACGTCAGAGGTAGAACATTATTGATTTGGCATTTGGGTGAAGCTCTGCAATTGCGTAATGGGGCTCTCATATTGGAGTGCATCTTTTTTGAAGCACAAGTAGGCTTGAAATTAAAACCAGATCTCTGCCTAGCTTTTGTACTCTTTGGAGACTTTTGTCAGACAGGATGGAGGTAAACCATAGTTTGCACTTTGTGAACTTAAACATAATTAAACCAAATTATGTTGTAGGAGTTCAGGTTGCACTACCGTTATGGATATCACTGCCAGAAAGACACTCATCTCGGTTTGATTCACTTTGCATCCGTATGCCCATTCTCATGCACTTAAATCTTTTCTACGTATGTGCACCAGAAGTACAGGCATTCCAAAATAGCACACCAGGTCTCTAGCAAAACTGTAAAATTGCATATTTGCTCATCAGTGATGAAGACAAATGGATTTCCTCTCTCTTTGTAGAAGCATAACCATGTTTGGGTGGAACCATGATTCCAAGAAGCAGGAGGCAGTTCAGGTATTTCAAAAAAGGCTTTAAGTATGTTATGCTTGAGGGATACAATCTTCCCCTGACTTCCATTACAAATTATTTGTTTGCAGTTGAATGTCTATGAGTTAGCTGCAAGTAAATGTGTTTCTACTAGAAATAAGTCTGTTGGAATTCTGGAAGAGGATTTTTTTGTTCGTTTGTTTTAATATCTGTACATATATTATACTTTTCATTTTTACATCTTGTAGAGTTCTTTAAAAAATAAGTTTATTTTTCCTGTCTCATTTTATTTTAGCCGTGTGTTGCAAGTTTTTCTAATTAGTGCTGTCCAAGCAACTCTAATAACACTTTCTGTTCTCATGTGTACATAACACAGTATAGAAGCCCATAAAGTTAGAAAGTAGCTTGCTTTTTCAGAGCTGTATCTTAACTTTTAAAGCAATTAAGATGGAGGCATTAATTCTACTAAATACTTTAGGTTTGTTTTTGTCCATATTAAATTATGATTTAACAGAAATTGTGTTGGGCAGCAGTATATATTTGTAAACAACAGCAGTTTTTGCTCTCAAATCTTGGATATCCAAATTCTAAAAACTGCCTCCGACTGTTGACTAGCTCAAAAAAGTGTGCTTTCAAAATTCCTTGGAATAATATATTTAATCTGAATTAAAAAATGCTGACATGGAACTTCTTGGCTTTTTCTTAAGTTCTACTGGCATTGTTCTGGTTGGAAAATATTTTACGGTATCGGCATGATGTTTAGCTTTATGAAACCAATGCTGTAAATTAAGCAAAATTGATTTAATCTGCATTGTTTAGCAAATTAGTGGTGTTTGATATCATTTTTGTTTCCATAATTCAGATTACTTTGTGGAATGTAGAGCTGTATGCAGATAAATTGCTGAGGTGAAGATTCAAAGGAAGTGCTCTGACTAAAGAGGCATTGGGGAGAACAATGTGCGTCAGAAGTCGGTTGAAGGAAGTTTCTCAGCCACTTCCAAACTAAGTATCAGTTGACAATGGGAATTATAAAATGCAAGAGTTGATAATCTTTTCAGTAGTTTTTGAATAGGGGATGCCTGGCTCAATAGGAGTATGTGTGAAAAAGATCTTAGAATCCTCGTGGATAACAAGTTAAATATGAGCCAACAATGTGATGCGGCAGCTAAAAAGGCCAATGGGATTTTGGCCTGCATAAATAGGAGTATAGTGTCTAGATCCAGGAAAGTCATGCTACCTTTTATTCTGCCTTGGTCAGACCACACCTGGAATACTGTGTCCAATTCTGGGCACCATAATTGAAGGGAGATGTTGACAAGCTGGGATGTGTCCAGAAAAGGATGGCTAAAATGATCAAGGGTCTAGAGAACAAGTCCTATGAGGAGCGTTTTAAAGAGCTGGGCGTATTTAGCCTGCAGAAGAGAAGGCTGAGTGGAGACATGATGACCATGTGTAAATATGTGAGGGGAAATCACAGGGAGGAGGGAGCAAGCTTATTTTCTGCTGCCCTGGAGACTAGGACGCGGAACAGTGGCTTAAAACTACAGGAAAAGAGATTCCACCTGAACATTAGGAAGAACTTCCTAACGGTGAGAGCTGTTCAGCATTGGAACTCTCTGCCCTGGAGTGTGGTGGCTTTCAAACAGAGGCTGGATGGCCATCTCTCGGGACTGCTTTGAATGCGATTTTTCTGCTTCTTGGCAGGAGTTTGACTGGATGGTCCACGAGATTTCTTCCAACTCTTATGATTCTATGAATCTGTTGTCTTCCAGCAAAGACCACACCTGATGGGCACCTCATGTGTCAAAAAAGCATCCATTTTGGCTCTTATACAAACAGCAAAACATCAATTAAATAATGGAATTGGAAATTACTAACTCAATATTTTGTCCCATAGACAAGGATGTCAGTTCTGGTAACCTCTCCACAAGTAAACTTACACATGCCATACCATGCAAGTCATTAGTGATGGAATCCATGAATGCAGAATACGTGGATATTGAAGACTGCCTATAGTCAGAGAGAATGCTTTGCCAATTGTAGGGGAAGCTTGTGTTATTTGTGGAGATAGAGATCCATCACAGAAAACACCATAGCATGTCTACGAGATGTAGGGGAGAAATGGAAAACACTGGATGATAGCAATATACATTGAATGATAGCAATAAATATGAATAGAGAGAAGGATGCAACGCCTATACAGATAGTAATAAAATTGTTCTGGATATGTGTTTGAGTATGTGAGCTGCAACAGCCACATTCCTGAGACTGAATTGAGGATTTAGCTAAAGGCATTGAACCCAAGCTGCCAGAAAGAAACAGCTGTCTTCAAGGATTATATGCAAACACACACAGTTCTCACAGATGTCTGTAGGAGGGAGGGATTCTAATTCATAAAGTATTCATTGCACAGGCAGTAGCCTGTATTCTCTACTTACCATCAGGTGGTGCCCAGAATAAGTTACAATAAGGTGTATTTACCATATTTTCCGGCATATAAGACGACTGGGCGTATAAGACGACCCCCAACTTTTCCGGTTAAAATATAGAGCTTGGGATATACTCGCCGTATAAGACTACCCCTCTTCCAATGCAAACCAATTTTTTTTAAAAAAGCATCAGATTGATTTCAGTATGGTAATTTTCCTATTACTGTACCTCCCTCTCTGCCTCCCAACCAAGCCTCCTGTGGCAGGGAGTTCCACAGTATAGGAGTGGCCACTAAGAAGGACCTCATCCATGTCCTCGCCAACCATACTTCTTCCAATGGTGGGAGAGAAAGGCCCTTCCCCACTCCTTAGGTTTGGACATATAAGAAAATACGAGCTTTTTCAGATAGTCCAGATCCAAGCGGTATAGGGCTTTACAGGTTATGGATACATAGCCAGTGAAAGCGAAGAATTAAAAATAAAACTGTCAACATAATGCTGCCCTTATACAATTCCATAGTGTGAATACTGGGTACGTATTGCTTCGTGCACTTTAAAATTTATATTAGTATATGGTCCTGTTTAGGTCTTAGACACAATATTGCAGTAGATGGTTCTGCTTCATGTTTGGATTGTTAAAATACAAATAGTATATTGTAAGATCCTCCTTCAATAGCCATAGAAGGAGCCCCCGGTGGTGCAATGGGTTAAACCCTTGTGCCAGCAGGACTGAAGACCGACAGATCTGGGGAGAGTGCAGATGAGCTTCCTCTGTCAGCTCTAGCTCCCAATGCAGGGACATGAGAGAAGCCTCCCACAAGGATGGTAATACATCAAAAACATCTGGGTGTTCCCTGGGCAACATCCTTGCAGATGGCCAATTCTCTCACACCAGAAGCAACTTGCAGTTCCTCAAGTTGCTCCTGACACACACAAAAAATAGCCATAGAAGCAAAACATGCACATGATTTATTATTTGGCTTGGAGGAATAGTTGTTTTCTACTTCAGCGCATGAGTCAATGTTATAACCTGGTCAGATGGATCTAGTTATTTTTATTTTTCCTACACAATGTATGCTATGGCAGTCTGAATGCCCACAGGATTAAAAAAAGAGACATTAAGCCTATTTCCATCCTATAGACCACCCTGTGGTTGTGCCCTATTTTTCTTGGCACTCGAGGCTTAAGAATTATGGAAGCCAGGGTGAACACGGTAAGCTATTTTGCTGTTAATCCATGAACACAAATTTACTTTTGATTCATCTCTCTATGCAGTTTAGATGCCCTGAATGAGGGGGAAATCTCCCTTCATCTCCCTTGCCTTTCTACTTTATTCATACTGGCCTCCAGCAAATGCCCTTAACATGGAAATTTCTTTATTAATCCTTAATTCCCAACTCCAAATTGTCTAGTTTCTCTTCAGATCATTTAAATCTTAACGCTTTCTACACACTTGCAATATTTACAATGTCCAGCAGAGGGGGCAAGCCTTAATTTGGGAAGGACAAAACAGGAAAAAATAATAAGAGGTCGAGGTCATCAGAAGCTTAGGAGGAATATGCAAATTGCATTAGCAAGCAACAGAAACTTTTATCATCAGGGCAATGCTGGGCATGTAAAAGTTCAGAACCTAATACTTAAGTATCATTTTCTAAACTTTTACCAGCAAAATAAAAGAGCTTGACAATATCTTTTCAAGGGATAACTTGCTCCATATCAGAAAAAAGAGCTCTAGATGTTGAACTGT